AATATACAATATACATGTATAATGCAAGTATACAATATATAGCAAGTATAAAATATATACTCTAATAAGTATACAATATATACTCTTGTATATAATATACAAGAGTCAACGACGTAGCTTCAATCCTTAGAAAAATGATATCCTCCGGCTTGTTTCTTAAAGTTAAGGAGCAACAGAAGAAGTCTAGTTTGTGTGAATTATTGAGTGTCAATTGAATCGGGACTTTTTCCTTCAGAAATTCTTTCTTCCCTTCTCACTCTGAGGGAAATCTGCTCAGATATACTGCACTGTAATACATCGCATACGTACATTGTATATTAATTATCATTATGCAGCAAATTATAAAAGTCCCCTCAGAAGTCCCCCCAGAAGTCCCCCCAGAAGTCCCCTCAGAAGGGGGCAGAGTCGAGTGCAAACATAGTTGAACGTAGTCGATAGTGTGTTACTCAGTAAGGTCTTTTAGATCGGCTTGATCAAACGACAATCACGTAATCGAATGTCTGTGTGCGACAGCTCTGTGCAACGACGACGCAAACGGGAACGTGCCCCTGGGCAAGTCGTGCAACCGTTACTGGCAGTGTCAAGGCGGCTATCCACGGCTGCAGAGATGTCCAGCGATGCTGGTGTTCGATCGGAGGTCGTTGAGGTGCGTGGTCCCGCCGACCGAGGACTGCGACGTGCCGACGACGCCGCCAAGCCTCGAGGGTGACCTGCCCGAGGGACGGAACGAGCAGGAACCAGAGGAGGAGAACCTTCCGCCGGGTGTCCCGCCGCTGCCAGCCGGCGCGCTGCCCATCTCACTTCGAGCTCGTCCCAGAAATTAGATCATCCAATTTCTTGCTTCTCGATGAATCGCAAACGTAGCCTCCTCGCGATTCTCCATGCTCGTAAAGAACATTGTGCACGTAAGAATGCAGCCTAGGTACCTCGGTTAGAATGGAAAATTACTATAACATCGTGGGAAACGCGACTCGGTGTGGAAAACTCGAGGAAGTCTGAGTCGTAGCTAGGTAACGTGGTTTACCGATATTTACGTATTATATAATCGGTATCGTGGCTCTCGAGGGTACAACAGATCGCACGGGGGGCGAGCAGTGTTGTTAAACATACTCCTTTATGCGTACTCACAGCTTAGAAAGTACCGCCACTTCCGGATCATCTGAAGTGATCTAGATGTTTCACTTTTATATCTCGTTCACCACTTTTGGTGACGGTGAACCCATTCGTTCTCTCTCTCTCATTCTTACAGTCAAAGAAATGTAAATATTGCCTCTTGGACATTCTCACATTCTCCTTCCCCTTCCTCTCCGAATTCTATAAGCAATCTACATATGTATCGAAAACAGTTCACACTTGTACGAATGTAGACTCGTTGAAATAAAGTATACGTTGTATATTTTTTGTACGCATGCCGTGACACTTTATTCCGATTATTCGTTGTACATGTCGCCGTTATTGCAATTATATATCCCTTCGAGACACATCTCTTGTGAATTCAAAGTAATGTAAGTAATTCAACTAGGCATCCAACGTGATTTCCTCGGTAAGCAAGCAGGCTTTTTCGTTTTGTCGATCGAGGAGGGTGTGATGAGCTCTGATGAGCGGCGTAGACAGATTTTGAAACGTTTGACAGGCAATTTTACGTTTCCACGTAATTTAAAGACCATTGGCACTGAAACAAACGAGAGGACATTTTGTTCTTACTTTCACGCTGTGAATGAGAAAACAAATCAATTCAATTAAAATGGATAATGAGAGAAAGAAAATAAGATGGATAATAAGAAAATAAATTAAATCAAATTAAGTCAAATTAAAGAAATAAAATTAGTAAACTAACGTAAACGTACCAATGAGGCAATTCCTCTGGATCCAAACAGCTGAGACTCGTGGAATCGAAGAGTTTCCCGTCGCCGCATGTGAGCAAACGTGGATTGCCATCGACGCAGGTGATTAGTCTGCCACAATCTCCGGGCACAGGGAATCTAAAAAAAAAAAAAAACCAGACATTCTTTAGTAAAAGAATCCAGTTTGAGCTGACTCGAACATTAGCGTCCTCCGTTAAGTGAAATT